GTCACCAGGAGAGAGTCCACACCCAGCAGCTTGAAGATCCGAACTGGAAAGGTCACCTTGTGGTGAACAGGGGGACAAGACGGGGATGGGGGGAGACCAGAGGGGTACGGGGAGGGGGGAAGAGGGGCAACCAGCAATACTTTGTTTGGACACAGAGGTAGAATCAGCCGTAGGCATCTGCCCCGCCCCGCCCCAGTGCATGCTGGGTAGCAATGAGGACGACCCACCTGGCAGAGGGAGTAACCTTCGTACAGGTGGAAGTGTCCCTTCATGAAGACACAGGGCGTCTCCTCGATCGTCCCAAACACCAGGCATCCTTCATGGCCTGGGACTGGAGAGCAGAGACAGTGGTTACCATGGCAACAGCTCAGACACATCATCCAGGATGGAACTAGGTTGGGGGAAGCAGCTCCCAGTGAGATTAGCCAGAGGCCGCCAACAGGATGAAAAGTTGGAGAAAAGGGGCGGAGCCTCAGGAAGGAGGGAAGATGGAGGACAAATGGCTCTGCATCATGAATTCATTTAATTTAGTTTGATCATCATGAATCCAGTCTAGATTCAGTGATTGGTTCATTTCTACCAGCTGACCACTGGGAGGACTGGGTTTATTGGGTTTACTGGGTTTGGTGTAGTAACCAATCAGAGCGGAGGCGAGACCTGCCAAGAGACTCATGAAGTACAAACTACCAGGATGGATTCTGCCTTTAACCGTCACAGCCGATGAAGACATTTGGTCCTCATTCCTCACCAGCAGGTGGCGCTAGCATATTGAGCTAATGCTAACCAGTTAGCAAGAATAAGAACAACCACTGAGTCACTAAGCAGCTAAATGAATCTGATTCCATTTAGATGACCCCGCCCACTCATGCTATGACCCCGCCCACTCACCTGTGCTAACGGGGAAGTTGGGGATGTCCTGGTACCTGAAGGTCTGCTTCTCAGCGGCGGCTTCAGCCAACAGGCCGAGTCCGGACCCGCAGATCACAGCCACTTTGGGTCGGTGCCGGGTCTGGTTCTGGAGCCATTCGGTGGTCAGCTTGTAGTCATCAAAGGAGTAGCAGCTGGAAGCAGGTCAGATGAGTAGAATCAGGTTCTGTTCTGAGCTGCAGTCAGTGTGAATTGGACCGGCTGCAGAACTTGTTTGGTTCTGTAGACCACCTGGTCTACAGAACCAAACAGAACCAACAGAACCTGTCTGGAGCGGGTCTCACCAGGAGCTTCCTTTGCTGAGCATCGTCAGGTTGCAGAGTCACCAGGAGGAAGAGGAGGAAGAGGAAGAGGAGGTCAGTGTCCTCTCCTCTGATTGGCTGATTTCAGTCACACAAACACTCTCTGGTGCATTGACTCCATGTGACTTTGCCCTTTGACCTCTACAGTTTGTTCAGCCAGAACAACCAATCAGGTGAGGTCAGCTGGCTCACAGGGGAACTGGACCCACAGCAGACCTGGTTCTGGTTCTAACCCAGCACAGGTTGGAACGGGTCCATCCAATCAGCAAAGCCCTCCTGCACACATTCACTGAAGCCGAGTTGGAAGTGGTTCTGGAGGGACGGAACCAACCGGACCCATCAGAACCCATCAGTTTTACTTCAGTTTAGGATGAAAATGTTTAATTTGTTGAGTCAAGTTTGTGTTTAGTTTGTTCAGCTGTGTTTGACCTAAAAACGGAGAAATTAAAAAACAAAATAAATGTTAATATTTTGACTTAATTTTCAAACATTTACAAAACATGAGCTGAATTTGATATTTGTTTTCTGTCCTCCAGTCTGTCCCCCAGTCTGTCCCTCAGTCTGTCCTCCAGTCTGTCCCTCAGACCAGCAGGGTGTGTGTCACTGTGGGAACCTTCTGCAGAAATCCTGCTCTGGTTGCCATAGAAACTGGGATTCTACAATAGCAACAGAGAGAGTGTGTGTGTGTGTGTGTGTGTGTGTGTGTTCTGCAGTATTTTATTTTTAACTTCAGCAGCTCAGTGATCAGGTTGACGCTCCATCAGTCTGAGGGTTCCTGCGCTTTGTGACATCACCAGGTGATCCATGACCTGCGTTGTCCAGGTGACCTCCAGGTCCTGATCGGATCCTGATCCTCCATCCAACTGATTGGATCTGGACCAGAACTTCCCCTCCAGGGTTCAACATCCCATCTGAAAGCGTCTGAAATCTGACTCCCCGCCTCTCCATTGCTTTCATCTTGGCAAAACCTGACAGAACCTCTGCTGGCGCTGCCAGCTCCACGTTCTGGTTCTGGTTCTGCCACAGGACTCCTGGGTCCACAGCAGGTGTTTAACTCCTCAGTTGTTCAGGCTGTGTATCAGAACCCGGGTCAGAAACAGAACTGGATCCAGGACGACCTCAGTCTGGCCCGACGCTGCTCTCTGCTGCCACCTGGAGGCCCAGCTCCAAACGGGACAGACGATCCGATTGGTCGTGTGTCAGTGGTCAGGTGTTTCTGCTGCTGCCACTCGCTCCTGCGCCGCCCCCTGCTGGACGCAGAGGGAACTGCAGCTACAACTGCAGTTCTGCTGAGTTCTGGTTCTGGATGTTTATGTGCCTGGACCAGAAGTCTTCGGCAGGCACCAGGAAGTGAGTGTTGCTATGGAGACAGTAAGGCTGCTTCCTGATCAGCTCAGATCTGACTGAGCTCTAAGGGTTAATTAGGGCTGAGAGGAAGAGGAGGACGAAGAGGAGGAGGAGGAAGAGTCGCGCAGCGGCTCCGTCAGTCGGTCGAAACCAGCTGAGGAAGAGGAGGAAGCCGCTTCTTCAGCTGCGGTAAGACTAGCCTTCCTCCTTTTCATCCCTCCGTCCTTCGTCATCTTCATCACCCCCTCATTGTCATCATCAGCTGCAACAGTGGGCGCGTGCCCGAGGTTCTGCTCGTGCAAATGTTGAAATGGTGATGAAGAAACATCGTCCATCTCCTCCCTGCGTGAGTGCGAGTGCGCGCGCTGCTGCGGTCAATTCACGCGCACACGCTCGTGCAGGCGCTGGGTAAATATAGAAAGTGATGCGTCAGAGTGGCGCGGTGACGTAGCAACGGTGACGCCGCATTCCTTCACAGCTTTATCATTATCATCATCATCATCATCATCATGTGGCCGATTGAACACACGCAGGACAGGACGCGTTTTGACCCGGATTAATGCTGCAACTCCAGGTCTGACCAGTAAGAGACCAGTCACGATCGATGAAGACAGTTACCATGGCAACACCCGTTGGATGGATGAACGGTTGGATAGTTTGTTGGATGAATGTTGGATGGATGGACTAACTTTGTTCTGTAATAAGCAGAAGAAGAAGAAATTCTGTAAAGTGTTGTTAATTGATAGAGCCCCCTCTGTGGTCGAAGTGGGAAGTGCATGACTTGTATCAAATGAGATCAGCTGCTCAGACATTCAGGACCATCATCTTATGATGATGATGGATCTGCAGAACAGCTGGGATAACTCCTGCATCACCATCTGATGATGTCACAGATCATTCCAACCAATCAGACGGCAGCAGTCTTTTCTATCTCTGCAGATGTTCATGTCTAAGTGCCGTGTCTTTCTCCTGCAGGTCATGTGACTTCAGAGAGGATGTCTAGTCTTGAGCGAGCTTCCAGTGGACGGCAGGTGTAGGAGAGGCAAAGGATCATGGGAGATGGAGGGCCCTTGCAGACAGAGGGGAACGCTCTCCTCAAAGCTGTGTTCCAGGGAAAGCTACGCCTTGCCCGGCTGCTGCTGGAGGGCGGAGCCTACATCAATGAAGGCAATGAACGGGGAGAGACACCCATCTCCGCCGCCTGCCTGGGGAGCTATGACGACCCGCAGACCCGCCAGAGGATGGTCCGCTACCTGCTGGAGAAAGGCGCTGACCCCAACATCCCAGACAAGAGCGGCCGCACAGCGCTAATGCATGCCTGCGCCGAGCGGGCAGGGCGAGAGGTGGTGGCCCTGCTGCTGGAGAACGGGGCAGACCCCAGCCTCAGAGACTATGCCGGTGCCTCCGCCTTGGTCCATGCCATCAACAGGGGAGACCGCGACACGCTGCAGGTGCTGCTGGACGCCTGCAAGGCCAAAGGCAAGGAGGTGATCATTATCACCACTGACACATCTCCATCGGGCACCAAGAAGACCAAGCAGTACCTGAACTCGCCACCCTCGCCTGGCATCGTGGACAAACTATCCCCTGCTTGCATGTCACCTTCAGAAGTGGAGATCGGCACTGCGTCACCTGCAGGGGACAGGACCAATGACAAGGAGGGAATCTTCAGCTTTGCGCTCACCTCGGCCTTACCACTGCCTTCGGCTCGGCCTCCAGGTGAGAAGCGGCCCCCACCTCGGAAGCTTCTGAAGAGGCTGAACTCGGAGCCCTGGGGCCTGGTGGCACCCTCGGTGCTGAGTGGAGTTCCTCCAGACCGACTGGACCCGGGTCTGGAGGAAGAGGGCAGTAGCGACCTGAGCAGAGCCACCGCCGAGATGAACGGCCTATCCATCACGGGGCTGGTCCAGAATCGGTTGTCACGACGACACAGCATCGAGACGCACGACCCCTGCTCTCCCAAACCCATCGACCGGTCCTGCTCCGAGGACTGCACTGGCCTCTCTGCCACGTCCTGGGCCGACAAGGTGCAGCAGCACCAGATCCTGTACCGGAGAAACACCGCCCCTGAGCCCCAGGAGAACGCCGGGGGGCCTGGGGGTATCCGGCTTCTGGTGCACCCTAAACTGAGCCGCATGGAGCACTACGAGTCCGACACTCATCTTTGTCCAGAGTCCATCCCTGGATCTCCGGACTCCGGGCGGGTGTCAGTGGAACGGCGACGGTATAACGCCTCCCCATTGTCCCTAGTGACCAGCTCATCCAGGGAGTCTCTTGAGAACATCCCCAACTCGGTGTCACCCATCACCGTGCGCCGTCGGCCCCCAGGTCTGCTGGAACGCCGCGGGTCTGGGACGATGCTGCTGGACCACATCTCCCACACTAGGCCCGGTTTCCTGCCTCCTCTCAACATCAACCCCCACAGACCCATTCCTGACATTCGTGCCAATGGAAAACCCACCTCCCCCATTCACAGTGGACACAAGATCCTGGTCCCCATGGCCCCGATATCTCCCAAGCGGGGCCCCGAATTCAAGATGAAGAAGAAGTTGATGAGGAGGCACTCCATGCAGACAGAGCAGATGAAGCAGCTCTCCACCTTCCAGGAGATCCTGGCTGAGAAGGTGGTTGAGTCCAATGGGGACTGATGACAGGAGGCAACAAAGCATGATGGGTAGCTGCTGAGTCCTAGCTGACACTAGGTCCTGGTGACTGAGGTGATCTTTGTTTGACACCACCTGACTGGATCAGTTCTGTTCACTGAGGTTTGGGCCAAAGTGACGGTTCTGATCCAATGGGATGTTCCCTGAAGCCGAATCAGAACTTTTCCCCATCTAAAACATCAAATTGGAGGTGCGTTTGATTCAGGGATGGTCCTGTATGACGACATCTTGGTGCTGGGCACTCGACAACCAGGTGGATCCTGAACCTCCAGGTGGGTCACAGGGACACAGTGGCCCCTACAGGACCAGAACCTTTCAGACCAAACCCTCCAAGATCCAGCCAGTGGTCAACCCTGGGTTCTGGTGGCATCTCTGCTGAGGTGTGGGGGCATCTCAGAGAGTTAGGGATGGTCCTCTAAAGACACACCATCCAAAGCATGGAGAACTGAATGAACCTCCTCTCATCACTGTATTCTGGATCAGAACCGTTCCTGTAATGTAACCGGGTCGATTTCTCTGATGTGGATGATCTTCAGGACCTCTCCAACCAGGATCAGAGGCTACATGGCTGCAGGGAAGGTACTGAACTGCTCAGAATCAGATCTCAGCAAGAACCTGAGGAGTGTCTGATGCAGGCGAGGTGAACCCTGACCCCTGAGGATCAGAGGCACTTCTGGCACAGAACCAAACTCTACAAGAACTTTTTCTTTAACAACCTCAAACCAAGACAGAGCAACTAAACCCCCAAATCGACTTGATTTTGCTGATAAACTCTCTATAACCGGTTCTTAAGAGTTCTGTCTTTATTTTTCTGTACAGAGATTTTCATGCAAATTTGTTTAATTCTGCATTATTTCTGTCTAAAGCAGTGTCAGTGCTGCCCTCATTAGGCTGAAGGGTGGCTACTGCAGTTGATTTTTCCTGTTGGTTCCAGCTTTACGTCACTCAGCTGGCATCAGTGCTTACCCCTCCCTTATCCCCACACTTGGCTCCGCCCACTTTGGTGGCATTTTCATAAATTTGTCAGGGGGCGGGGCTTTGCTGTCTGTTAGTTACATTTTAAATCAGCCTGAAGGTGACGCTTTTTTGTTCAAACTGAATGCTCCGATCTTATTTTAACGGTTTGCTGATGTGGAAAGACTGACCCCTGGTGGTCACAGCAGCGTCAGCAACAGGTCTCTTGCAGGTTCATGGATCTCAAGTCAGTTTTCCTCTGCAGCTCAGTAAATTAAAACTAAATCTGACGCTTATTTTAATGATTCAACTGAAAAAACTAACTTATTTTACAGACTTTTTCCAGATTGATATCAAATAATCTATATTTTAAGTGTTTCAGTTAATGTAGATGTTCTGGTTTAGTTGAAACCTGAAGTTCAAGTTCCGAGAAAATCAGATCAGACCAATAAATAAGGAACTTTTCTGAAATGGATGGAAAACTGAGTGGAAGGAAAAAGTGTGAGGACCAAATCCTATGGGAAGGTTTTAGAGATGTTTTCTGATTGGCTGTCCCAGCAGGACTTGGTACCAGTTCTGATCGCTGTGGTTCTGTAAATGTTTGGTGCAACCGATTCTCCATGTTCTCTGAAGAGGAGCTCATGTTGCTGTCCGGCCGATGAAGGACATGAAGCTGCTCTTCCTCACTCCTCCAATCTTTGGAGGAGTGACACGACAACCTGACACACCGAGGTTCTGATGGACAGGGTCCCGGTTCTTCCACATCAACGATTAGAAAATAAAACGCTGATTTCTGGATTGGGTCAGAAATCTCTGAAACCGACAGTGATTTCAGAACGTCGATGTCCAATGACCCAGCCCAACCACCGGGTCAGAACCGGTTCAGAAACTTGCTGAGACACAAACTGTGAAACATAAAGACGTTTATTGAAGATTAAAATATTCCTTTAGACAGGAAGTGACATTATAGTTACTGATCACCTCTCAAAAACAGTCATCACTAAAGTGACCAATGAAATCTGTTCAACTGAACTAAGCTCCGCCCACACACGAGTCTGCAGGAACTGGATCAAATTTTCAAAATAAAATTTCAGCTTGCGTCCGGTGTTAGTCTGTAGCTTACACAGATAGGCGCGTAAGAGGAGATGGCTCACGCTGATCAAGTCCTCAGATGCACCAATGGAAACTTTAAAGTGCAAAGATCAGTAAAAATGGGATGCATTACTATGGATCAAAATCATATAGTGCATCTAAAACAAAGATATGTGTTTGGGCAGATGACTTACTCTGCTTAAAGTTTACTGATACGGGATGTTTAAAAAAATCCGCTTATACAGATAGGAGAAAGACAGAGCTCTCACTCTGTTATGTACTGAAGTCCTTTTTAAACAGATAATGTAGAACAGACATCTCACTCTAATCAGTGACAAATAAAGATAGGAGTAAAAAACAAGCCTCACTCTGATACATACTGAGGCATATTTAAAACAACAGATAGTAGTGCAGAACAGATGTCTCACTCCAGACAAAACGGCAACAGGTGTTCATTTAGTCAAGAAGTGGGACATCAGACAAAGATAGGAGTGAGAAAAGAGAGCATTCATTGGTTTATTTTTTGAAGAACTTCTTGTTGAGCAGGAAGATGAGCAGATTGACGTTGACTTTGGCTTTATCGAACATCTTCATCACCGCCACGCCCTCGTACTGAAGCTGCAGCAGATCCTGGGAACAAAACACAGCAGCTGGAGCGCAGCAGGTCCAACGAACCAGAACCAGAACCAGGCAGGACCTGCACTGGGTCATTATTACTCCACAACAAGAATCCCACAAAGAAAGTTAATATTTCAGAAACTTCTGTTCAGGTTTTCTGTCTGTTAATACAGTTGTTGAAACTCGTTAATCTATGAATCGTAAAGAGATTCAGGAAGTGAAGAGGTTGTTCAATCTGAGATGTTTTCCTAATGTCAGGCAGACCTGGCCTTGTGTTCTGGTTCTGACCCGGTTCTGGTGGTACCTGGTATCGGAGCAGGAAGTCCTCCATCTGGATGCCCAGGAAGCGGGCGCTGACGCTGAAGCTTCCCGTCTCTGGTCCAGGTGTGATGTCGAAGACGACGTTCCTGAACCTGGAAGAGGTCAGAAGGTCAGTGGTGGTGATGTCATGGTGATGTCATGCTCCCCCATCCCGCCTCACTGTGTGGCCGGCAGGTCCTCTATCTCCAGCAGCACTCCCTTATCCTGCAGTCGGGTGGCGCTGTAGCTCAGAGAAGGAAGCTTCTTCTTCCCTCTGCTCTCTGCTGCATTCCCATTGGTCCCTTTGCTGCAACAAAACAACCAATGATGGCGCCGTCAGGGCCTGAGAACCAATCGGGTCTCTAGAAGCGCGGCAAATCGTCTCACCTGCCGGTAGTCAGGTTGTCCAGACAGGAAGTGATGTAATGCCTGTAGAAGTCGACCTGCTGGCAGTGGAAGCTGCTCTTCTCCTGCAGGCGGCTCAGAGTCTGCTGCAGCTTGTGAAGCTCCGCCCTCCGCCGCTGGCGACACACGCGCTGCTGCCGGATGTCCTGGAGGGAAAACCGGGTTCAGTCTGGGCCGAAACCGGATCAGGCTGGTTCTGGTCAGGGTGTTACCTTGGCAACCATCTGCAGGACCTGCTCCTCGGCCCGCGGCGGCTGCAGAACGCCAAGCGCCTCCAGGCGGCGGAGGCTGCGTACGATCTTCCTCTTCTTCTCCTCAAGGCTCAGGTTGCCGTTGGCGACCAGAGACGGGTTACTCTTCATCTTCTCAGGTGTCTGAGCGTCCTGCCGCGCCCGGCGCTGCACCAGCCAATTGTGGCACACTTCCTATTTGGAAACAGAACCCGGTCAGGCGAGCGTCGCGCGGTCAGGCGAGCGTCGCGCGGTCAGGCGAGCGTCACCTGGTCAGGTGAGGTCTTTGTTTTCAAGATGTCCCTCAGAGAGTCGCCTGGCTGAGTCCTGATGACATCGATGATCAGCTGCTTGGTGCTAAAACCAGAACCACAAGTGAGCAGAGCAGAACAACGTGCCGACCTACCTGGACAGGTAAGGCAGAGCTACCTGAGCAGCAGTCCCCGGACATCCGGTCGGTCTGAGGAGTCGTCAAAAACATCAAATTTGTTGGTGAGCGTCAGAGAAACTTCCATCTTACTGAACTCTGACCCTGGATCAGCTGACGCCTCACCTGAGGAGCAAATATCCCAAAAACTCATCAAACAAGGCGCCAACACCTGGACACCTGGGTCCAACATCCAAACCCAGGAGGACCAGTTTACACCTGTACAGTACTATGCTGCAGCAGGTAACGGTACCGTTGAGCTCCTGGAGGGAGGGAACCGGTCCGAGGTCATTCAGGATCAGCCTCAGTGGGTCCAACGGGTCGGGACACAGAACCTCCTGGTGCTCCAGCAGCAGCTGCAGAGACGTAGGGCAGCAGGTTCAGGAGTTTAATGTCTTAAAGTGACAGTACGTATGAATCCTCCAGCAACCATTTTATAGCCAGTGTGTATTACATATACAAGACATGATTTAAAAGAAATTCAGCTTCACAGTTTAATGTCTTGAAATTGGGCCTCTGTCTCTTTAAGAAGCTGCTACTCTTTCTGACGCTCCGCCTTCAGGAAGTCATCACAACAGTGTTTCTCCATGATGCTGTTTGCAACTGGACTGACTGGAAACTGCAGCCCAGAGGAGGAGCTGCGCCTCAAAGGCGGGGCTAAGTCCAGGTGTTTAGGCATGGTCTCCATGGCGACCCGAATGGTTTCTCAACCAAAGGATTTCTCAACATGAATGAAAAAAAAAATTCAAACAAACCAAAGCAACACACCCGGTCCATAACATGATGTAGAACCTCTTGATCTTACATGATACTGCCCCTTTAAGAAAGGCAGCAGCGCTGCAGTGACACATCAAGATGAAACGAACGCGACGATATTCTTCATTCACAAAGACAATCGGCTCACATCAGTCTCACTGGAGACTCAAATATAACATCAAACGCAGAAAGTTAGCAACACCAACGCTAGCTAGCACTCTGCCCATCTATCCTCGGCTCAGTGGCGCGTCCCCGGAACCACAGGAACCTTCTGGACCCAAAGAGTCTTGGTTCTGCTGCGGCTCACCTTGTGAGTGTTGAGCAACTCGCTGACGGAGATGTAGATGATCGGTCTGTTGACGATCAGCTGCTCAGAGAACTCGTCCATGCTGAACCGCTCCTCTGGTTCGGGAACGTCGCAGACACTGTGCAGGAACTTCCTGTCCAACAGAACATGAGCGGCAATCAGCAATGCCTCCCCTGACCTTTGACCCAAGGCTTCTGGCATCTGTACCTGAACCTGCCGTGGGTCTGGGTGATGTACTGGTTCAGGATGTGAACGTGGTAGCCGTCTCCGTGGAAGTGCTTGTTGGCGGCGGCGTGCTGCAGCATGCGGGCTACGGATCCCAGGATGTGGCGCTGCTCCGGTTGCAGGGCGGATCCGGCCGACCGGTCCACCACGTCGAAGCCGTCCGGAGCCACGATGGCCGGATTCATGTAGCGATAGTACACCAGGTTTCCCACAATCTGCAGGAAGCATCCCGGTTAGAGGTTCTGCTTGGAGGGGAAAGCCAGACTGACGGACAGTAGAACTAAAAGTCTGTTCTAGGAATTCATCGTTGCCACATCCTGAAGATGCTTCTGGCCTTGTTCAATCCAGACCAACCTGAGCTGAACATCCAGATTTTGTTCTGAAGGTTTGATTATTCAGTTCTGAACAGATTGAAATCCAAAGAGGCATAGTAATGATCCAGTCAAACTGGGAGCCACTGGGAGCATTCCAGTACGACTCACCTTGTAGAGCTCGGCCTCACTGGCTGCAGGGAACTTTGTCTTCAAGGCGTCTCGGAGAGCCTTGGCTGTGTAACGTAGGCCATACCTGCCATCAACAGAGACCAGCCATCAGAAACTGTTCGTTTCAAACTGTCCAGCAATCAATCAGCAAAAATAAGTAACAGGATGTGAGGCTGTGGGCGGACGCCGACAGGAGAGAGCAGGAAGTTGGGGACCTACGGGAGTTTGTTGAGGTTGGAGGTGATGGCTTTGAGGACGCGGTCCGTCAGGTTCTTCAGGTTGATGATCGCGATGTCAATTCTTCGTTGGACTTCCGGATGGGACAGGGCATCCTCCGCAGAAACCTCATAGGGTAGAGAGCTGAAGGGACAGAGCCAGTCAGGTGAGCCCCTCTGTGACCTAATGACCTTGCCCTTGGTGTCTCACCTCTTGTGTCCGGTCTGGGTCTCGGTCTGGTTGATCCATGTCTTGTAGACCTCCAGCGGGTCGGTTCTGATGCTGAGGGTTTGGTCCAACAGGATGTCCCGCAGCGCCGGACCCAAGAAGTCCCGCAGGGAGTTCTGCCCACGAGCCTGCCGGTAAAAGTTCACCAGCATCTTGATGACGGTGGGATTCCCGGTAATCACTTCCTGC